TTGAAATTGCGTTATCAAAGAGAAAACCAACCCAGCAAATGCACAACGTTGTCTACTTTCTTGCAACATTGCTACAACTTTGAAAAGAGGAGGAGGAGGTTGTGACAAAATACTGACAACATTGCCACTACATTGTCACAGTGTCACAACTTTCTGAGCATCAAGACAATAGGTTGTCACAACATAACTGTGTTTGCTGGGAACTTAGAAAGATATCAAAATTCAAATGTAAATGGGAAACAGAGCCTCTCCTCTTCTGAATTACAAATTCTTGCCTACTGTGCTCATGCTGTGGCAAAATGCCTTTAAAATTGCTTTAGACCAGACTGCACTTTCATTTTCATGGTCTTCCCAACCTATAAATCCTCCTGTCAGGGTGAGGCCAAGATCACACAGCAGAAAAGATTTTATCTAAAAACATGGTAGCCAAAGAGTTTATACCCACTCTTTTATGTTAGCAGATGAGGTGAAAGAGAGAAATATAGCCACTTGTTTAACGTCTTTATTAATGACCCGTTGAGAAAGTGTTTAATCAAATGTGTGGCCAAGTTCCTCAATCTGGTTAATAAAAACAAGGCTGAACTTGGCTTCCTTCTCACCAGCTTCTTTTTTGAATTTTTCGGTCCACCTTAAACAGTGCAGCAGTTACATTCTGGTGCCTCAATATGCCTGAATGGCCTCTTTTCCACTGTTGAGCCAAATGGTTCTTAAGGCCGCTTTGGCCTGTTCCGCACTGGTCTGGAGTCGTTGTACTGTTGTACTGCTAAATCAGAACCAGGAAATACTGAAGAAAACTGCACAAACGAGTGGCTAACTGCTAGCAGGCTAATAGCTACACACACACCACCCACCACAAAACACGTTTCATTGTCTTTCACTCTAACTCCAGTCTCTCTCTAAGCTCTCAGATTCTTTATCCTCTAAAACAGATGTTATTTGAGCGTTAGTTACTGAAACAGCCTGTACTGCGGTGTGTTTCACCTGTAGCTGGCTAACTACACTAGCATTTTTGAGAATCAATACAGTGCAAATCTATGGGGATACAGGTTAAGCTATTAAGACAGGCAGTGAGAAATGTTGACAGGACGTTAATTTATGTTACTAAGCTAACATTATAGAATTATTTGTAGCATACTGACTCATGATTTCGTCACATTTAAGACAAAACTGTCAGTTTTCATTTTATCTAGTCAACTTGTTTATCTCAGTATAGCAAAAAAATAATAAATAAGAGATAAGAGTAAGAAAAGAAGAAGATGAAAATGCACAGAGGTTAGAAAAAGTTATGTTGCATGAAGACAATGCTGTGTGTGTGTAGCAGGAGAAATACAGTTAAAGTTTACGGTGGGCTGGTCTGCATCATGTAACTCCCAGTCTTAAAACAAGTCCCAATCCGGCCCTGAGGGAATGTATACTAATCATATTGATTTTTTTAAAACCCAAATGTGGTTGATAGATACCAGTGTTGGGGAAGCTACTTTGAAAGCATTGCTTTGCAAGCTACCAATTACTTCACACTGGAAGTTAAACTAACTCGATCAAAGATAACCTGAAACTAAACCTAAAACTACTTCATGAAAAAAAATCAAATTGACAATGTAATGTGGTTTGAAATTATAACAAAATATAATATAAAAAAGTCACATGCCAGCAAAAAGTGTCCACTTGATCACCACTTGGTCATACATAAGCAAAAAATACACCACTAATTATGCAAGGAATGTCAGCTTTTTATGGCCCAAAACTGTTTGTAAAGTAACTTTACTACTTGAATCACTATTGCAAATATGAATGTATGAAACCTCTAGTTTAATTAGATGTAGTTTATTACTCCCCAACATTGATGGATACCCTGTGATTGTTTTTACTAGAAGAGTGAAAGTGCATCATATTAAAGGTTGATATAATGTAATCAGTAACAACTGAATAGCAAATAATATTTATAATTTTATTTGTAATTATAAATAATAGAAATAATACTTATTCAACTGTTGTTTTGCAATCAAATTCAGCATTGTTTGTTTTTCTTGTCATAATATGTGGGCCCCCCTTCTGAATCTCTGTGTAAATGAAATGTCAACACTTTTCCTTTAGAGAAGTGAAATTTCTATTGTAGGCTATTCGGTGGGAACCCTAATATTCATAAACAGAGCTGGTGCCAGCTATAAGGCAAGTGGACAATTCCCTAGGGCAGAGGTCACTAATAGGTGGACCACGGTCCGAGTCTGGACCCAGACGCTGTCCTATGCGGACCTGGACCTATAACCGATAAACTATGGAGAATTATTTAATTTCGACAGGGTGGTCGTATTTTAATCAGCGTAACTTTTCCAGTCATTACAGTACCGTTTTAGCGGCCCGGGAAACTCACAGACCAATCGCATGAGTTGTACATATCACACGTGACACTACTCAGCCAATCAGATCTATGCATTACGATGAGCACTGAGACTCAAGTGAGTGACGCGCACACAGAGGAGGGACGAGGCGAGAAAAAGGAGTCGGAGAAGAAAGTGAGTCAGAGAAAAGTTCATTCACATGGCGAGCTCTAAAAAGAGAAACTGACAATAAAGGTGGTTGAAATGTTATTGAATTGTACTTTATTTGATTTGACATTCAGTTGTTGACTGTATAAGATATTGATAAAACTACTAGGCTACTTTAGTAAACAGTATATGGCACTGAGTCATGATGATGAAGTTAGACATTATGAAGTTCCAGACCTTTACTTGAGGAATTTTCTCTAACTGGACCTTATTGAATTTTAATTAAATACCCCTGGCCTATGGCCTCTGCATTATTGGAGGCCTCTACATCAATACTCTGCATCAAAAAAAAGAGTAAATGAGTATTAATTTTCTTATTGAACATGTTAGTTAGTCATCACCGGTCATAAAACCAAACAGTTCTGGAGTTTCAGCCACACTCATTGCTAAAAGATGTATAAAATTAAGTACAAAGCCATGCAATCTCCGTATACAAACACTGGCAGTAGTATGGGTCATAATGAAGAGCTCAGTGCCTTTAAGTGTGGCACTGTCATAGGATACCACATTTGCCACAAGTCAGTGTGATATTTTTGCCCTGCAAAATCTGCCCTGAGCAACTGTAAGTGTTATCATTGAAGCGTCTAGAAGGAAAAAAGCTCAACCGCAAAGTAGCCGTCCATGCAAACTCACAGAGCAGGACTGTTGAGTGCCCAAGTAACCAGTAAAAATCGCCTATCCTCACTATTGCACACTACAGAGTTCCAAACTGACTCTGAAAGAAACATCAGCGAAGAACTGCCACAGCCAAGCAGCTGCACAAAAGCCTAAAATCCACTATGTGGATGAATCTGGGTTTAGCAGATGCCAGGAGAATGCTACCTACCGGAATGCATAGTGCCAACAGTAAAGTTTGGTGGAGGAGGGATAATGGTGTGGGGCTGTTGTTCAGGGTAGGCTAGGGCCCTTAGTCGGGTAATGTTAATGCTACAGCAAAGAAAGACTTTTTAGGTAATTATATGCCACTTTGTAGGAGCAGTTTAGGGAAGACCATTCCCTTTTCCAGCATAACTGTGTTCCTGTGCACAAAGCGAGGTCCATAGAAACATTGTTTGATAAGTTAGTAATGTGTGAGGGAACTCCAGTGGCTTGCACAGAACACATAGCTCAACCCCATTAAACTTTTGGGATGAATGTTGATTGCAAGCCTCATCCAACATCATTCAGCTCCAAATTACTATTAACATATTAATTCCATAGTTTTAGAATGGGTGTCCCAACAACCTCATAGAGGTGCTTTAGTATTGTTTCACATTGCTAGTTGTTGCGAGTTGACTGTAAGTGTATGTTATGTGTAATCCTGTCTATCAATGATTGAAGTTCACATGGCAAAACATAAAAAACTGAATTTACTAATCACTGCTTTCTGTTTTTATTAGCATTTCACAAACTGTCCCAAGATACTCGTCTCATACTCACTATTTTCACTTTAAATACACAAGATGAAGGGGTGTTTTCTGTGTATGTGTAGGTTACTTACAATGTACAATGTTTTAACACTAAACTCCAGCTTCAACAAGTTCATCTATTTGATTGAATATTTGTCGAACTTTTGTTATTTCAGAAACATCTTACCACTAAATAAACAACCAGAAGACATAGAATACCTTAGAATGCAGTCATATGGCCTACTTAAAGCGCTTGATGCACTCCTTCCACTCTGCAAGTGCACCAGGACTTCGCTGACCTACTTTACTCAACACGTCAAATGAGTATTACTCCTCGATGAATTGAAACTATAGCATGAGTATTTATGCTGTAGCATGAGTTGAAAGACTAGAAGGGGAATTGGTTATTAACTGTAGTTATATTCCTTTTTAATTTTTAATTATCAACTGCAACTGACTATAACTGTAAACAGAAAACTTGACAACTGTAGAATGACTCTTGTTGTCTTTTTTCATGTTTTGGTATTTTGCATACTTCCAAGGCAACTTGGTGTGTACATCTCTATGGATAGAATTAAAACATTGATAGGCCTAATAGACATCTTAATTTATTTTGAATGAAAACATTAATTGATGTGGGATGGAAAAGGGGAGAGTGTTTTTTGTCTGGGAAGACAGCACTGCCTTGCAATACACTTAAATTGAGCCCTTTTTTAGTTCTTAACTTTAAATTAACTTTAATGCTGGGCATTAACTGATCATGCTGCATGTAAGTAACCCAGACTGATCTTCACCTCTTTCAACTCTTAAATCAAAAATTCAAATACACTGAAACATACTGAAAGGCATTTGCGTATGCAGGGAAACAGATGGACTACAGTCTGTAATTGTAGAACTACAAAGTGCACCTATATAGAAAGTGGAGCTGATAAAACAAGGAGGTGGTCATAACGTTATGCCTGATTGGTGTATAACTGACTAAGAGTACAAGAATTTAATTTTAATGATACTTGAATAAAGTACACAAAATAATACTTAATAAAATAATACTTACGTGTGGCAACAAACTACTTTTACATCAGTACTTAATGAACTAATATATTAATTTGCCACACAAGTCGTTGTAAGTGTTGCAAAGCTTTAGCAGGTAAATGTGGAACTTGCATGCTTTATAAGAAACACCATGTTACAAGCATTAATTAAAGCATTAACATCTCATTCTCTGTTTTTCTCTTCTTCCCTCTCTGTAGGTCCAGTCTGTTATGTCGCTTGCATTCACCTTGATGGTTCTGATGATGATTCCACAGAGTCTAAGGCAAGAACACACACAGGTAATAGTGCTAAATACTCAGACAGAAACACTCACTGCCAGCATATTGACATATTCTATTACATTAATGGACAAACGGAGAGATAACAAAGAAAGCATCTACACTCAGTATGTTTCTCCACTCATTTATTGAGGTTTTCCTTTAATTTGTCATCTTTCAGTGATTGCAGAACCTTTGTTGTGAAGTTCAAAATAACTCAGTTTAGTAGTGGGCGGTATGGCCAAAAATGTATATCACAGTATATTTTTATTTTTTTTTCCTGCTTTGTCATATTTCATGGTGTACATATGTGACCTATTTTGTATTGTGCAAAATGGTAGTCGAGGTCTGAATTTTTACAAGGCTGAAGCTGACTTCCTATAAAGCAGCTTTCCGTTCAAATATTCTGTTCCACCTCAAGGATGTAGTAGTTACATAGATGGATGGATAGATGGATAGATGGATGGATGGATGGATAGAAAGTTGCAGCAATATTACAATGTAAAGTGCATAGTGAAAGTGTCACTATAGTAGCAGTTATATATTGATATATTGCACAATGTGCATTAACAGGAGAGGTGATATAGTGATGTGGTTCAGCTCAGTTCAGACAGCAGGAGATCAGTAGCATCTCTGCAGTAAGGAGACTCGTTGTAGAGCCTTATAGCAGTGGGTAAGAAAGATCTCACATGGTGTTCTTTAACACAGCGCAGCTGTAACAGTCGGCCACTGGATGTGCTTCTCTGTTTATCCAGTGTAGCATGCAGGGGGTGTGAGGTGTTATCCAAGATGGCTAACAGCTTGTTGAGCATCCTTTGTTCTGCCACAACCTCCAAAGATTCCATCTTGACTCTTACAACAGAGCCAGCCTTCCTAAAAGGTTTGTTTATTTTGTTCAGAGCATTTTTGTTAATGCTGCTGCCAAAGCTTAGTACACACACCAAAAGACCTCTCTTGTACACTGCGAGAGTGTTACAGCTCCAGTCCAGCTTGTTGTCCAAGTCCACACACAGATACTTGTAGGTCCCCACCACCTCCACATCAACTTCATCAATGGTGACTGGTGACAAGGCAGGTTTGGACTTCTGAATGTCCAATACCATCTCCTTAGTCTTACTGACATTCAGCTGCAGCTGGTTCAGTTTACACCAGTCAACAAAGTCCTTCACTAGCTCCCTGTATTCCTCCTCCTGTCCATTCCTCATGCACCCTCATGCACAATGGCTGTGTCATCCGAGAATTTCTGCAGATGACATGACTCTGTGTTGTACCTGAAGTCAGAGGTGTACAGGTTGAACAGGAATGGAGTTAATACAATCCCCTGGGATGCCCCAGCACTGTACACAGCCTTGTCTGAGACACAGCCCTGCAGTCGCACATACTGGGGTCGTCCAGTCAGGTAGTCCATTATCCATGAGATGATAGATTCATCCACCTGCATCAGCCGTAGCTTCTCCCCTAACAGCACAGGCTGTATGGTGTTAAATGCACTGGACAAATCAAAGAACATGATCCTCACAGTGCTGCCTGATGTGTCCAATTGAGAGTACGTTCTGTCCAGCAGGTAGATAACTGCATCATCCACTCCAATGCCATCCTGATATGCAAACGGCATTGTTTAGGAGACAGACTCAATGGAGCAGTAGAGGAGCCATTGTCAAACCACACAAAGAACTGCTTTAACTCATTTGCTTTAACTCATTCGCCCATTCAGTCTCTAGACACTGCAATGAATGCACTAGGGCTCTGGTTTTGCACTTTCGCGATGGTCGAGTGGATGAAATAGATGGAAATAGATGCCTGTTAATCAGCCTGGTGTCCATGTTAGGCTAAGACTAAGCCCAAAAGACAGGCCATTCTTTTGTGTCCACTTCCTCGGAAAACAAAATGAGCAACTTCAGATGCAACAGACAAGACAGCAGGAGAAGACAGAGGGACCGCTGTGTTTTCATTTTCAGTTTAAACATAACTTAAACGTCCATGGTTAACGTTAGTGACATTTGCACTGTTTGTATGTTGCGTTATCTGTGCATATTTGTGGCATACTTGCATAATGGTTGTGACAAAACTCCATACTTGGGGAAGAACTGAACTGGTATACTGCCCTCTACTAACTATGTGTAACACTTAAACACTGACCAACACTGGTAACTGATGAAGCATAAAGATAAAGTCCCAATGAAATCACTTACTGGAGTCGGAAGGGGTTGCTCTGAAGACCTACACCTGTGTCACAGCACAAGGAGGACTGCTCTCAGTCTAACAGCAAAAAAGAACAACAGAGAGGAAATTAGATTAAAAACTCTATTTTGCAGTTACATTTTTATTTGTTCATGTTTGTAATTCTCTTTGGCCCCGAGTGTCTGGGTAAATTTCGTTTTTTAAAGTGAGGATCTTACTGTTAGAGCTTCATACACATCATCTGAGGGCTTGGTCTTCATATTAAGAGCTGTGTATGTGTCGTCGTCTTTGGTGTCTGGGCCAACATTCTATATGAACAAGAAAAAAAAAAAAAGAGTGTGTCGGCACCATGCACAGCTGCCTCACTCATGAATAATAATGCACACATTCTAATAGATCACATACCTCGTAATCATCTTCAATTGCTGTCTTCTTCTGCTTCTTCCTTCTGCTTTCACCAACCCCATATTCACTTCCACTTGTTGTCTTATTCTTCCTCCAGCTTTCATGTAATAAATGACAACAGTTCTGCATTGTATATTAACATGCTTAATTATTCTCATATCATATGATGAATACAGCAATGTTGTCCTCTAAACCCCACTTAAAGGTTTGAGCAACCTCAATGAACACTTGGATATGGTTTGAGCAGAGTGAGAGTTCTGGGAATGTATTTATGGAAGAGGTTTTGTTGATTATTGACCTTGTGTTTGTTATCTATGTTAGCCATGAAAGTCCAGTGCTAAACCAATTTGCACACCAAACATGTCCTACCTATCAACTACATCTGGCCCAGGTCAGACCATTCCTTTAAAGGTTGTGCTTTGTGCAGTTTCCCAGACATGGATTAAACCTAGTCTTGGACTCAACTGTGGCGCCAAGGGTGAATCACCAACAGAAATTCTTTTTAGTCTATGCTTAGGTTTAAATGGGTTTGGGAAACTGGCCCTAAATGTTGGATAGTTGGATACAGAGTTTGATTGTAACTGTAAGCATCACCTTATCCACAGAATGTTGAGGAGAACGGCTGCAGCGAGTCCTCCACAGAATCCACCGATGCCAGCAGCAGTAACCTTTCCTTTAGGACACTCCTCTGAGTGAAAAGTTAAAATACTAAAATGAAGGTCTTTTACACCAGAAAACAGTCAGGTAATTACATAACCAACACTGCTCACCTATACATGTGACTGGTACAGGGCGCGCAAAGTGATGGCCAATTTTGTTGCCAGTCTTGCAGTAGAATGGTGCAATGTCCTCTTTAGTAATACTGGCGATGCTGTAGGTCTGCCCATATGCCACAGGTGCACTTTCACCTTCTTTATACCAGGTGTAGTCCATCACAGGTGGGTTAGCATCAGCCTTGCATGTCAGGGTCACTGACACTGATGTATTCTTTGGGGAGTCTAGAAGTACAATACATCATTTTGAGCTGCTGGTTTTACAACTCAGTCAGAGTTAAAGGGAACACTTATGCGCATAATGTATATGAAATATAGTGTGCCAGTACATATAAATGGCCCTTTACTTACATAAAATATCAAGTGGCGTGTACTCTGAGAACGCAGATCCGTGCCGGTTGGATGCCCTGCACTTGTATTTGTAATTGTCTTCGATGCTGATAATTCTGATTCTGTAACTCTGCCTGGTCCCTATTTTTAAATCCTCTGTTCCTGATCTCTTAAACCAGGTGTAGCTCTCCACAGGTGGGTTTGCATCACTCCTGCAGGTCAGAGTCACTGAACCTCCCTCAATTATTCCACCAAATGATCCGCTGAACACCTCTACCCTCTTTGGGCCATCTGCAAAAAATGAGCAAAAACGAAAAAAAAACATAGACCATAGAATTCTAACAATGGAAATTAGCTGATGGACTGCTCTGCAATCAGTACCTGCCCACTAATCCCAAACATGATTCTTATGTTCCTCAGCAAACAGAAAGGCACACTGCAATTGCAACACACTGATTGTTAACTTAACAATTGACAACATGCAAATGTCTTGACTGAGCATCAGATTAGAGACCACTCTTTAACAAGGAAACGGAAAATACTGTGAAACACTGTGTTACTATGATGTATATATACAGTGTACAACACAATAACTAGTATAATTAGGTCATTAACTGTTAGTACAGGACTGGATCAGACTGTATCAGCAGGAACAGTATGCCCACAACTACACAGAGAGCAAGCAGATATAAATGACCCTTCAATAACTTACATAAAATATCAAGTGTTTTGTACTCTGAGAATGCAGATCCGTGCCGGTTGGATGCCCTGCACTTGTATTTGTGACTGTCTTCAATGCTGATTTGTTCGATGGTGTAACTCTGACCATAGCCTATTGGGAAATCAAAGGTTTCTGATCTCTTAAACCAGGTGTAGCTCTCCACAGGTGGGTTTGCGTCACTGCTGCAGGTCAGAGTCACTGAACGACCCTCAAGTATTTCATAAGGCAGTTTAGTCACCACAACCCTCTTTGGGCCATCTGAAAAAAAAGACTAGTCAGCTCCATAATTCTTGGCACGCTTCATAAAGAAGAAAAAAATGAAAATATGAATGAAATATATCCTGTAAATGCAGAACACTTAGTCTAAGAAAACAACATCGTGTGTCATAACTTGAATGTAGCACCTTGTGCAACATCTCTGTAATGAATCTTCTCTTGTAATGTTTACTGAGGTCAAAAGCAATGAATCTGAAACCACTCCACAGCATTGAATCTCTCCAGATCCTCTAAGGACCTAGGGTTCTCTCTTTTAGTCTATCCTTTTCAGTTTCCTAAACACAGGGTTTCGGCCACGGTACTGAAATGGCCATGTCAAAATCTTGATTCTGTCTTTGAGCTACTGAACTTGTGGTTTGGGATCATTGTTCTCCTGGAAGATCCAACCACAACCCAGTGTTAGCTTTTTGGCAAAGGCAGTCAGACTTTCATTTATAGGCTCTTAGTACTCATGGAGTCCATGATGCCATGTATCCTTACAAGGTTTGGAAAAAAAAAATAAATCCACAAAACATCACAGATCCTCCATCATACTGTAGTGGACACCACCTGGATTCAGCTTACAAAATAGTATTTACAAGACCTCTTCACAACTAGTTTTTACCTTCCTGTCGATATTTCGAACATGGATCCACAGCTCCATCAAGTGGCTGGAATAAGACATGCAAAACTGTTGTGAAGCCATTCCACCACAGATCAAAAGAACTCTGATTTCACATGTCAGCATGATGTTTAAACTTCCTATGGTTTGTAATCAATATTACTTTTATGCTACTTAGTTAAATCCTTAAACATCTAACTCTTCTTTCGGTAGATGCTAGGAGTATGGAGTGTTTAGATATGTACCTGAGAACCTATTTTTCTTTCAGGGGTGCCCAACCCTAATTTAACACACCTAATCCAGGTAATCAAGGTTTTTAGGGGCATCTGACTACATGAGTCAAGTGTGTTCAGGATCTGAACCCTCCAGGGTGGTAGATCTCCAGGACCAGGATTGAGCACCATTGGGGATGGCCTATGGCCAGAACAAAACCAAGCTCTCATTGTTGGCTCTGGTTGTTTTGAATTTATTGCCCTAACATTGGATATAGTCATTTTCAGGTATGTAGCTATTTTTTAAAAGCAGTTTTCTGGTTTATGAATGTCAGCACACTTTTTTCACTTATTTCATTAATCTTCCTCAGGTTCTGACCACAGGAAGATGTTTACCATTCTCAGTGCATGAGTGACACTGGCGCAGTGCTGTGTGTGGTGCTGATACAAGTGTATCAGGCACAGCAGTGCTTCTGGAGTTTGGCACACAGTCAGTGTCAGTGTCACTGCTAGGTTGTGAGTGGTCCACCACAAAAAAATACCCAGACAATTTTTTATATCAGTCACTCTGGGATCAGTAAGTGTTGTCCCACTGAACCAGACGTAATTCACAGTCAGGTTGCTTAAACTATAACATGTCAGAGTCACTGAACTGCCCTCCACTATTTCACCAGAGGGACTAACAGACACTGAGACATTTGTGGGACCTAGAAATAAAGAATAGAGTTTAGGCTGAAAAAATAGGCTGTTAATAGAGTTATATATATATATATATATATATATATATATATTCATAAAACAAAACAATTGAAACCGGTTACTTCTACTGCACCTTCACTGTGCATTCAAATGAACTCACCTTCTGTCTTGCTTGGGCTGATATTAGGTGTTAGATGGGTAAATGTTGCTGTTGAATAAGAAGGAATATTTTTTGACATTAAATAATTAATGATATATATATATATATTTATAAATGTATCACCAATTCATTAATTAAATGAATAATGTAAGTTTTTATTATTAAATAACATAAATAATGAGAAGAGGAAGAAGCATTCATAGCATTATCAAGTTTGCAAGTTGGCTTAGTGATTTGAAATTGTATAAAATGCCTAAGACATAATTAATTTATAATTAATAGATTTTGCCTGGTCAGAGGCATCACGGCTCAACAGGTTCACTGTTCAAAAGTCTGGAAACACAAATGCAAAATTTGATTGTAATATGTTAGTTCTGTGCAACATCATAGCAGCAGATCATTTGTAGGAAGCTGTGAAAAATGAAGAAATTTTAAATGTGTACACAGTTTTTATTACATAAATATAAAATTAATATCCACAATAACTCATCTTTAGACAGTGGTGAGCAAATCTTGAGGCAGATCAATTAAAAAAAAATGGTAAATAGAAAATTGCATTATAACATTTATCAATTAACTTCTTGTTGTTCCTAAAAATACGAAATACCAAAATACCAATAGCAAAAGTATTGGATTAAACATCTAAACAGCTTTGGGTGTCTAGTTTGTCGTATTTCAATCTTCACTGTACGTTATTATTGTGTATAAAATGACAAGTGATTGTAAACTTTTAAATGGTAGAGCAGCACAGAAGCATCACACCAACTAAATTTCCACAAACATGCATGTTTACACAGCTCTAGGTTATGCTATTAAGTTGTGGAACAGTGCAGTTATTTTGGTTCCCACCTCAACCTAAAAGAGAAAATGTGAGGTGAGAAAATGCCTACAGTATAACACAGTGGACTTCAAAATGAAAAATGTAAACATGGCTGTATCTGTATCATTTCTTACATCCTACAGTGGTGCTGCAGTAGTCTCTAGAGTGAATTATAGGTTAAAGACTAAGAAAACCCATTCTGATGAGGTATCCTGAAGGTTGTAGTTTTGGGGTGGATTTTTGGGGCCAGATTGTTATGATTTTTTTGTTACCCGGTGATGCAGAAGGAAGGTAGATAGCTAACATTACACCTAGGAAGCCATATTATGGCCTCCTGTAATGATTCAGCTGAGAGCAGAGATGACCACTAGTGCAGAAGCCTACACAGCGTACAGGTAAATAACCAAATATACAAAGCATAAAGAAAAACAGGAGAGGACTATTAAGCATACAAAAGCATAGGCAAAGTTATTCTACGCTAAGCTATAACAAGAGAGAGTAAAAAAAAAAAGGAAGTAGGCGCTAAACTAAGGGCATCAACCTTTGTGGTTAAACAAAATGCAAAATGCCATGATATTTGTATTGGAAAAACAATTTTTTCAATTATTACTTAACCAGTGAAGTGATTCAATTAAGAATGTTTTAGTAAGTCCAAGAATAATGTGCAAAATAAATAAATAAATAAAATAAAATTGATAAAATATTACAATTATTGTGAGCCCTCCAACACGTCCTACTTCTGCATCCACCCCCAAAAAACATACACATATACACGTTATCCTAAATTAACATTAAACAAAAATGGCTAGGGTGACTTACCATAGGCAGTGTGTGAAGGTGAAGAAGTAGTCCTGCAAAGGCAAGGACAGTAAAAAAAGTGTCAGTGGAGACTAAAAAAATACTCTGGTTACTCATACAGAGTTCTAAATTACGCTCATGTTCTCTCTGGGGACCCCCCAGAACATTCTGTCTATGATTGTCCAAGAAGTTAATTAGAGGGTCCCCTTGTATTTTGCACCTTACATAGTTTGAAGGGAAACTGTTTCTCATTAAAGCTACACTATGTAAGATTTGGGGACTTGGGAGACCTCTCTGGTGGAAATATGTAATTGTAAGCTTTGGATCTCCTCTCTGAGTGGAAGAATCTGATGATTGCAAGGGCAGTGAAGAAGTTTTCAAAGAGAACTTAGTCAAAACACCAAGCTGGGCCCTCTTTTTGAGCCTGTGCCTGCGATGTTGATATGTAAAGGCCTGAACACCTCCTGCAAAATCTGACCTAACACCTCTTACTTTTACACTATTATTAATTTAGGTTTTACAGGGCACCTCGCAACTGTGCAGGCACAAGATATATTAATGTGTGTTTGACATCAAGTAAGATCATCTTGTGATCATCTATCCTGGTCCAAGTAATCAAAATCACAGACTACATTGAGTAAATCTACATTTATATGAAGACACAAGAAACATTTATTCAAAACTAAAGAACATATTTAATAATAATATTAATTATTTAGTGAACTGTGATGTGTATATGATAATGTCAGTCTCCTCACTTGTTTTCAGAATAAAATGACCCAGGGCACTGCTTATAAACAATATTGTAGCACATATTTTACCAACAGGTCAATTTTTAATATTAATCTTGTCTGCAGTGCTGAGCTACCAGGTCTACATGAAAAAGACACACTAAAATGTGACGTAAATATATAACTATCCTTTCAGAGTTAGAGTGAGTTGGAACATTTGCATCATTAGTGATAATTAGGATTAGGGTCCTCATGGCCGATAATGGGAATGCACCATAATCCAGCTGTGTGGCCAGAGCTAGTGGACTAGTTACATTCTGAGTCCAGGATTGGAAAGTTGTGAGGTGTTTAGCTTTACATTGTGTGGTTTATTAAACTGTAAGAAGCCATAGCTGATCTTTAGATGTACATTTCTAGTTTTAGGAGTGGCAGAGAGCGGGTTAGAACAGATGTATTTAGTACACATTTATGTAGTAAACTATCTATAGTCTGACCAATGAACAAACTTTACAAAAACAGCTAACCATTAGCAACCAATCTGTCTGTTCTTAGCCACTGTGTTTGGAACTTGGTAGATTCTGCTGCACATAATTTATCACTGAATCCTATTCCCAGCTATGTCTACTCTAATAAGTCAGAGGTCATACGTCACATTACCCGGCTATATTAACGGCTATATTAAAACCAAAATAATTTTATAAGCTAACTGTAAGCTTTGCAAATTTGCAATTCAAACTAATTATCAACCAATTAAACTGCAATTAAATTTCTCATAAGGCCTTGAGACAAATGTAACTGTAGTTCAGAGGAAGTGAGTGCCAACTGGAGAATGTCATTATCCCAAAGATGTTTTTCTTTCCCTTTTCAGTCAATGTAAGTTTAACACTACAACATAGACAGTTTTTTCTATTTTGTTAGCAGACTTTTGTAACCCTTGACATGTCTTTCTAGCTACGTCTTTGGAGGATTTACATAGTTATGTTTTTTTAATGATAATTTCACCAACAAAAACCAACAAAACACTGATAACATCATTTATGGTTGTCAGAAACTTACGCGCTGTTATCCCAGTACCAGCCGTATGTCGGAAGCTGAGCTGTTTGATCGGTCAGGTTGGAGGAAGAAAGAAATACATTAGAAAGAAAGAAATATATTAGCTGACTGACCAGTGAGAAAACACCATCAACCATGTAAACCAACTGATATGTCTACTGATACGCTTATGTTTACATAGAAAGAAAAGATGAATTCACTGCTGTTCCACAGTTAGCTATATTAGCTGTATTAGTGATTAGGTGAGAAATTAAATCTGTATTTTGTTACTTACACATAACATACTACAGCTGGCAAGAGAACATTCACTGTTAACCAGCATATTGATTATTGATGGTATATATCATATAACTAACATTATTAAGAAATCAGCAGGTACATTAGCTGCCTTTCCTGTCAGCTGGTGTTTGATACAGACAGCCTTTTATAACATGTTTAATGTCTGCTTTTACAGTAATCAGTGAGGACAGAGATGCAAAAGAGGGAAAGCAGGGAGAGAGAGAGAGACACAGAGAGAGAGAGAGAGAGAGAAAGAGAGAGAGAGAGAGAGAGAGAGAGATAAATTAAATAAAATAAATTTAAAACTACCACTTGATTTAGTGTAGGATTGTATTTATATGTATTTCAGCTCAAAATAAACACATAATAAGGGGTAAAATTATTAATTAAATACACTTAAACTGGATAGGAGTCAAATCGGTTTATGGAACAGTAATAGCAGTTTATGGAAGAATGGAGGGATGGAGAAGGAACAAATGAAAGGAAAAGGTGCGTACCAGTAATGAATAGGTAAAAAGGAGCAATGATTTTGTTAAAAAGAACTAAAGGAGAAACTTACAGTTGGTGTAATTCTCATATTTGACAGTTATTTTATTCACTATGAGATGTAGGTCACATTTTTGCACAATGGACCTCACTAAAATTCTGATCCTAGTTACAGCCCTGTATATATACACATACATACACAACAAAACAAAACTTTGTTTTGACACTGGAGCCAGTAACGTTCCTTAACACGTCCTCACAACATTAAACCTAAAAAAGAGATTCACTGGTTACTTCTGTTACACCCACACTGTGTATTCAAATGAGCTCACCTGCTGTTGTCCTTGTGTTGACATCATGTGTTGAAGGGGTAAAAGTTGCTGATGAATAAGAAGGAAGATTTTTTCCATTAATTAATCATTAATATTTATACAAGCATCAATGTATTTTTAATTAATATGTAATTTATTAATTAATGAATAATATAAAAAATGAGAAGAACAAAAAGTCTTCATAACATTATCAAGTTTATAAGCTGGCTTAGTTTATTTGAAATTGAATAACATGTCTAAGACTTCAGTGCAGCTGGCTTTAATATCTGTTGCTTCTCTTGGTTGTTAAAGCAAAGCTCTGTAATTAATTGATTATGGCTGGTCTGAGGCACCACTGTTCAACAAGTTCACTGTTCAAAAGTCTGGAAACACAAATGTATAAAATGATTGTAATATGTTAGTTCTGTGCAACTTCACAGCAGCAGATCATTTATAGGAAGTTAAGCTGTGAAAAATAAAGAAAATTTGAAAGTGTACAGAATGATGAACAGAGATGATGATTCTGAAATGACTGAGAGAAATGTATAACATCAAGAATGAAGTTATAAAATTAATATCCACAAAAACTCATCTTCAAACAGTGGTGAGCAAATCTTAAGGCAGATCATGTGTAAATATAAAATTGTGTTATATCATTTATCACTTAATAACTTTTTGTTGTTCCCAAAATACCTTAAGTATTGAATAAAACATCTAAAACAGCTTTGAGTGTCTAGTTTGTAGTATTTCAGTCTTCACTGTATTATTGTGTATAATATGACAAGTGATTGCAAACTTTTAAATGGTAGAGCAGCACAGATGCATCACGCCAACTAAATCTCCACAAACATGTATGTTTACGCAGCTCTAGATCAGGCAGTTAAGTTGTGGAACAACGCAGTTATTTTGGTTTCCCCTCAACCTAAAGAGAAAATATGAGGTGATAAAATGTGGAACATAGTGGACTTTGGAAGTTAAACCTGTACATTTCAGCAGGCCAGAGGGACACTCCAGTCAAAATGAAAAATTTAACCATGGCTATATCTGATGTAAACCTGCTTTCTCACATCCTACAGTGGTGCTGCATTGGTTTCTAGAGTGAGTTATAGTTTAAAGACTAAGAAAACCCATTCTGATGATGTATCCTGAAGATTGTAGTTTTGGGGTGGATTTTTGGGGCCAGATTGTTATGATTTTTTTGTTACCTGGTGATGCAGAAGGAAGGTAGATAGCTAACATTACAGCTAAGAAGCCATATTATGGCATTTTGTAATGATTCAGCTGAGAGCAGAGATGACCACTAGTGCAGAAGGTTTATATGAACATAGAGCCAACACAACGTACAGGTAAATAACCAAATATACAAAGCATAAACAAAAACAGGAGAGGACTAGTAAGCAAACAAAAGCATAGGCAAAGTTATTCTACGCTAAGCTATGACAAGAGAGAGTAAAAAAAAAGGAAGTAGGCGCTAAACTAAGGGCATCAACCTTTGTGGTTAAACAAAATGCAAAATGCCATGATATTTGTATTGGAAAAACAAATTTTTTAATTATTACTTAACCAGTGAAGTGATTCAATTAAGAATGTTTTAGTAAGTCCAAGAATAATGTGCAAAATAAATAAATAAATAAAATAAAATTGATAAAATAGTGCAATTATTGTGAGCCCTTCAACACCTCCTAACTCCCACATCCACCCCAAAAAAACATACACATTATTGCAAAATAACAATAAACAAAAATGGCTAGCGTGACTTACCATAGGCAGTGTGTGAAGGTGAAGAAGTAGTCCTGCAAAGGCAAGGACAGTAAAAAAAAGTGTCAGTGGAGACTAAAAAAATACCCTCGTTACTCATACAGAGTCCTAAATTACGCTCATGTTCTCTCTGAGGACCCCCCAGAATTTTCATTTTGAGACATTCTGTCTATGATTGTCCAAGAAGTTAAATAGAGGGTCCCCTTGTATTTTGCACCTTACATGGTTTGAAGGGAAACTGTTTCTGATTAAAGCTACACTATGTAAGATTTGGGGACTTGGGAGACCTCTCTGGTGGAAATATGTAATTGTAAGCTTTGGATCTCCTCTCTGAGTGGAAGAATCTGATGATTGCAAGTGCAGTGAAGAAGTTTTCAAAGAGAACTCAGTCAAAACACCAAGCTGGGCCCTCTTTTTGAGCCTGTGCCTGTGATGTTGATATGTAAAGGCCTGAACACCTCCTGCAAAATCTGACCTAACTAACTTACTTTTACACTATTATTAATTTAGATTTTACAGAGCACCTCACAGCTGTGCATGCACAAGATATATTAATGTGTGTTTGACATCAAGTAAGATCATCTTGTGATCATCTATCCTGGTCCAAGTAATCAAAATCACAGACTACATTGAGTAAATCTACATTTATATGAAGACACAAGAAACATTTATTCAAAACCAAAGAACATATTTATTTATAATATTTATTTATTTCGTGAACGGTGATGTGTATATGACTATGCCAATTTTCAGAATTGTTTTCAGAATTAAATGATCCAGGGCACTGCTTATAAACAATACTGTAACACATATTTTACCAACAGGTCAATTTTTAATATTCAGCTTGTCTGCAGTGCTGAGCTACCAGGTCTACATGAAAAAGACACACCAAAATGTAACGTAAATATATAACTATCCTTTCAGAGTTAGAGTGAGTTGGAACATTTGTATCATTAGTGATAATTAGGATTAGGGTCCTCATGGCCGATAATGGGAATGCACCATAATCCAGCTGTGTGGCCAGAGCTAGTGGACTAGTTACATTCTGAGTCCAGGATTGGAAACTTGTGAGGTGTTTAGCTTTACATTGTGTGGTTTATTAAAGTGTAGGAAGCCATAGCTGATCTTTAGATGTACATTTCTAGTTTTAGGAGTGGCAGAGAGCGGGTTAGAACAGATGTATTTAGTACACATTTATGTAGTAAACTATCTATAGTCTGACCATTGAACAAACTTTACAAAGACAGCTAACCATCAGCAACCAATCTGTCTGTTCTTAGCCGCTGTGTTTGGAACTTGGTAGATTTTGCTGCACCCAATTTATCACTGAATCCTATTCCCAGCTATGTCTACTCTAATAAGTCAGAGGTCATACGTCACATTACCTGGCTATATTAACGGCTATATTAAAACCAAAATAATTTTATAAGCTAACTGTAAGCTTTGCAAATTTGCAATTCAAACTAATTATCAACCAATTAAACTGCAATTAAATTTCTCATAAGGCCTTGAAACAAATGTAACTGTAGTTCAGAGGAAGTGAGTGCCAACTGGAGAATGTCATTATCCCAAAGATGTTTTTCTTTCCCTTTTCAGTCAATGTAATTTCAATACTACAAAGTTTGGTCAGTAGGAGGAGCAGTGCACTCAATGCTCCACTTCAAACTCTGCTAAAGAGCACCGCCGTTGGCTCATGAGCAACTAAATTCTGCTATTCGCTCCCCAAACATCAGCATGAATTAGGGCGTGCTTCGTGTAAATGATATGTAAATGAGGTACACGTAGGCTGGTGCTTGATTTCAGACACTGAAGCTGAATCATCATTTGTGCTTAAATTACTTGTTACCAAGTTGTATGAAAGTTCCAGGAATGAAGACGCAGAGTAGTTTGTGCCATGATTAAAGGCGGTCAAATGGCACATTTGTGAAAATGTGAATGAATAAAGCATTTATGTCGGGTTTTTTCCTTTCTTGTTTTGTGTTTCATTGTTTATTCTTATATAATTATCTAACACTGAGATTGTGTGAGATTGTGATTTATGTAATTGTGTTTTTAACGATAATTTCACCAAAAAAGAAACCACAGATAACATCATTTATGGTTGTCAGAAACTTACGCGCTGTTATCCCAGTACCAGCCGTATGTCGGAAGCTGAGCTGTTTGATTGGTCAGGTTGGAGGAAGAAAGAAATAAATTAGAAAGAAAGAAATAAATTAACACTGACTGACCAGTGAGAAAACACCATCAACCATGTAAACCAACTGATATGTCTACTGATACGCTTATGTTTACATAGAAAGAAAAGATGAATTCACCGCTGTTCCACAGTTAGCTATATTAGCTGTATTAGTGATTAGGTGAGAAATTAAATCTGTATTTTGTTACTTACACATAACATACTACAGCTGGCAAGAGAACATTCACTGTTTACCAGCATATTGATGGTATATATCATATAACTAACATTATTAAGAAATCAACAGGTACATTAGCTGCCTTTCCTGTTAGCTGGTGTTTGATACAGACAGCCTTTTATAACATGTTTAATGTCTGCTTTTACAGTAATCAATGAGGACAGATGCAAAAGAAAGAAGCAGGGAGAGAGACAGACAGAGAGATCATTTGAAAAAATATTGTAAATATAAAATTGCAATATATCATTTATCACTTAATTAGTTCTTGTTGTTCCCAAAATACCTTAAGTATTAAATAAAACATCTAAAACAGGTTTGAGTGTCTAGTTTGTAGTATTTCAGTCTTCACTGTATTATTGTGTATAATATGACAAGTGATTGCAAACTTTTAAATGGTAGAGCAGCACAGATGCATCACGTCAACTAAATCTTCACAAACATGTATGTTTAAGCAGCTCTAGATCAGGCAGTTAAGTTGTGGAACAGTGCAGTTATTTTGGTTTCCACCTCAACCTAAAGAGAAAATATGAGGTGATAAAATGTGGAACATAGTGGACTTTGGAAGTTAAACCTGTACATTTCAGCAGGTCAGAGGGACACTCCAGTCAAAATGAAACATTTAATCATGGCTGTATCTGATGTAAACCTGCTTTCTCACATCCTACAGTGGTGCTGCAGTAGTCTCTAGAGTGAATTATAGGTTAAAGACTAAGAAAACCCATTCTGATGACGTATCCTGAAGGTTATAGTTTTGGGGTGGATTTTTGGGGCCAGATTGTTATGATTTTTTTGTTACCTGGTGATGCAGAAGGAAGGTAGATAGCTAACATTACAGCTAAGAAGCCATATTATGGCCTCCTGTAATGATTCAGCTGAGAGCAGAGATGACCACTAGTGCAGAAGGTTTGTATGAACATAGAGCCAACACAGCGTACAGGTAAATAACCAAATATAAGGTAAACTAAGGGCATCAACCTTTGTGGTTAAACAAAATGCAAATTACCATGATATTTGTATTGAAAAAAAAAGTCTTTAATTATTACTTAACCAGTGAAGTGATTCAATTAAGAATATTTTAGTAAGTCGAAGAATAATGTGCAAAATAAATAAATAAATAAAATAAAATTGATAAAATAGTGCTATTTTTGTGGGCCCTCCAACACCTCCTACCTCCCACATCCACCCCAAAAAAACATACACATTATTGCAAAATAACAACAAACAAAAATGGCTAGGGTGACTTACCATAGGCAGTGTGTGAAGGTGAAGAAGTAGTCCTGCAAAGGCAAGGACAGTAAAAAAGTGTCAGTGGAGACTAAAAAAATACCCTGGTTACTCATACAGAGTCCTAAATTACGCTCATGTTCTCTCTGAGAACCCCCCAGAATTTTCATTTTGAGACATTCTGTCTATGATTGTCCAAGAAGTTAATTAGAGGGTCCCCTTGTATTTTGCACCTTACATAGTTTCTCATTAAAGCTACACTATGTAAGATTTGGGGACTTGGGAGACCTCTCTGGTGGAAATATGTAATTGTAAGCTTTGGATCTCCTCTCTGAGTGGAAGAATCTGATGATTGCAAGTGCAGTGAAGAAGTTTTCAAAGAGAACTTAGTCAAAACACCAAGCTGGGCCCTCTTTTTGAGCCTGTGCCTGCGATGTTGATGTGTAAAGGCCTGAACACCTCCTGCAAAATCTGACCTAACACCTCTTACTTTTACATTATTATTAATTTAGGTTGTACAGGGCACCTCGCAGCTGTGCAGGCACAAGATATATTAATGTGTGTTTGACATCAAGTAAGATCATCTTGTGATCATCTATCCTGGTCCAAGTAATCAAAATCACAGACTACTTTGAGTAAATCTACATTTATATGAAGACACAAGAAACATTTATTCAAAACTAAAGAACATATTTATTTATAATATTTATTTATTTAGTGAACTGTGATGTGTATATGAAAATGTCAGTCTCCTCACTTGTTTTCAGAATAAAATGATCCAGGGCACTGCTTATAAACAATATTGTAACACATATTTTACCAACAGGTCAATTTTAATATTCAGCTTGTCTGCAGTGCTGAGCTACCAGGTCTACATGAAAAAGACACACCAAAATGTAACTTAAATATATAACTATTCTTTCAGAGTTAGAGTGAGTTGGAACATTTGTATCATTAGTGATAATTAGGATTAGGGTCCTCATGGCCGATAATGGGAATGCACCATAATCCAGCTGTGTGGCCAGAGCTAGTGGACTAGTTACATTCTGAGTCTAGGATTGGAAAGTTGTGAGGTGTTTAGCTTTACATTGTGTGGTTTATTAAAGTGTAGGAAGCCATAGCTGATCTTTACATGTACTTTCTTGTTTTTAGGGGTGGCAGAGAGCTGGTCAGATGTAATTAGTACATATTTATGTAGTAAACTGTCCATACTCTGACCAATGAACAAACTTTACAAAGACAGCTAGCCAACAGCAACCAATCTGTCTGTTCTTATCCACTGTGTTTGGAACTTGGTAGATTCTGCTGCATATAATTTATCACTGAATCCTATTCCCAACTATGTCAACTCTAATAATTGACATATTAACTGTAGTTCAGAGTGAGTGATTGCCAACTGGAGAATGTCAGTATCCCAAAGATGTTTTGTTTATTGTTTTCAGTCAGTGTAAATTTAACACTACAAAGTTTGGTCAGTAGGAGGAGCAGTGCACTCAACACTCCACTTGAAACTCTGCCTAGGAGCATAGTCGTTGGCTCATGAGCCATGAATTCTTCTGTTTTACTGGCTCCCTAAACTTCTGCATGAATTAGGGCGTGCTACATGTAAATTATATGTAAATAAGGTACAGCTAGGCTGGTGCGTGATTTCAGACACTGAGGCTTGTTACTTGTGCTCAAATCACTTGGTTCCACATCATATGAAAGTTTTAGGAATGAAGACACAGAGTAGGTTGTAGCATTACCATCATTAAAGGTGGTCAAATCTGTGCTCCTTTTTGTGGAAATCTGAATAAAGCATATATTTATGAGTTTTTTCCTTTCTTTTTTGTGTTTCATTATCAATTGTTATATAATTATGTAGATTGTAAGAATGGTAGCACATTTTGAAAGTCATTGTGACAAAAAACTTGAAGTCATTGTGACAAAAAACTTGAGGGCCATTGTGCTGAATACAGTTTTGCATCATACTTTATGGGCTGCAGAATTAATGACTCTCAGACAACACAGAGAGTGTTTCTTTAGCAGACATTCGGATCCCTTGACATGTCGTTCTAGCTATGTCTTTGGAGGATTCACATAGTTTTGTTTTTTAATGATAATTTCACCAAAATAAAACCACCACTGATAATATCATCAGTACTTTCAGAAACTTACGTGGGGTAGTCCGTTGTGTAGTGCCAGTAGTATGTCGAAAGCTGAGCTGTTTGATTATTCGGGTTGGAGGAAGAGATAAACAAATTAGAATGAAAGAAATATATTAACACTGACTCACTGAGAGAGAGAGAGCAAGAGAGAAAACGAGAAACAGAAAGCGTGAGGTAAAGACAGAGAGGAAGAGTGAGAGATAGTGAGGACAAGAGAGAGAGAAAGAGAGCGAGCAAGAGAGAAGGAGTGACAGAGACAGAGAGGGAGAGAAGTGCTGAAAGTCACAGGACCTGCAGGTGTTACTCAGAACACTCAGAGGGAAGTTATAAATTACAATATAAAAGTGTTGAATAATAGTTTTACTGACAAAGGAATACTGATATGTCTACTGATATGCTTCTGTTTATATAGAAAGAAAAGATGAATGCACTGCTGTTAAAGTGGTGATGTTTCAGCAGAGACTTACGTGGAATCATGAACAAAAGAACCAGAGAAAGAGGATGAACCATCATCACTGTGGCTTTGGCCTATAAATGTGTACAAAAGAAACGTAACGGTCATTAAATTTGTGAGCTGTTCACCAGGATCATGATTGGATGCTGAGTTTCTCTAACTTAGTGAAACTCTATATTAGCAGACCTGATTAGGACTAGTGCTGAAAATGAATGGTCAATAATGTCATAAAAATCAGTAACAAATCTTTTTATTGTCTATTTTTTTTCATTTAGATTTTCAAAGTGACGTCTAACCTACATTGAGTTAACGACTTAACCTGAAGAGGACAGCAATTCGTTTATAGTGTCGTACCTATGTGAGCAGCTGAATAAGAGCAATTAAAAGTTAAAAAAGAATTAAATCGTTTATTTTTAAATGAAGAATAAAGTAGTCACAAAAAACATATGCAAGTGTGACGGTACCTTCAGCCACATGCCGGTGTTCTGACAAACAACTCTAGTTCTCACTAGAGCTGGGCAATTGGGCAAAAATGTAATCGCAGTACGTCAAGAAGTGTTTCATGATGCACGATTAGTCAAGATCAGGGATGGATCAGGGCCTCATGAGACCCTGAGCACAAACCCCCATATTATAACAACAATAGCCAAAAAAGAAAAAACGAATAAAATCCTGAATTGAATTCTGAATAGTAAGTAAAAGGAACAAGAACCCTATCAACTTTTTATTTTAAGTTCAAATAACTCAAAATTTTTAAGTCAGCCCAGAGACTAATCTTTTTTAAGTTAAAACCCACAATTTTTTTGTAAAGTGATTTTGCTATGACACAACAAGCCTGCATACACAATTAAATCACATTTGTTATGCTATATCTGTGTTATGTGGCAAATGGCACATACCAAGAGCTCATTGGCTAATGCTTAAAATAGTTTTTACTATATTCAGACCCAAAAATCTCAGTTCAGAGAAAACTTTACATTGATGTATTTTTATAGATAAAGTAGATAAAGATAAATATAAATAGACATAGATAAAGATAGACATAGATAAAGTGTTTTATATGGTTATACCTAGCCATATTCTAAAGGATATTGCAAAATTATTTCTTAATATATCACTAAAAGTTGATCTCAAAAATAAAGGATAGTGTTGACTAAACAAATAACAATGAGATACCAACAATCATTTTAATTCTGATATCACCAAATAGACAGATTTCTTAAGTATGAAAAAGTGTGCACATTTAATTAAATGTAAAAACATGACTAATTTGCAAACATAAATGTTTTGATTTTTTTTAGAATATCAGTAGTCAGTAATAGGCAAGGATTAGGTTTAATATATATTTTTAAAAAAGGTTTTGGTTTTTTACATGTTCGGTCTTAAACCAAAATAAAGTCTCTTACCTTATTAAGACAAGTCCCTGACGCATACAGCAAATGATGAGTTCCTGGAAATGCTGAGCTTTTTGAATGCAGTCAGGCTATATGTGGCTAACGCCTTTATTACACGTGACTGTTGGTCTTATAGTCATTCTACGATAATATAACAATATTTATCTCTTACATGAGAACAATAGTTTAATAGCTAAAACTTTGCACATTGTAAAAACAAATAAAATTTTCAGTCTATGGTCATAAAATACTTTTTTTACTACTGCATTCAAGGGTCATTTTTTCTTTGCACCCATTGGTCTCCCTAATAACAATGAGGCATCATTTTGTTGCTGACCATCCTTTTATGACCACAACTTACCCATGTTCTAATGGCTACTACATATAATAATATATATATATGTAATATATCTATTACATACTTGTTGTGCAATGATGTGTTCAACAGAAATGGCAATAATAATATCAGGCTTGTGGTGTTTAGACTGAGGCTAATACCTCTGTTCTCCACCCAGCAGACAGGCTACATCATGCAAAAAAAAAAAGTACAACTTGAAAATGAAATATGTGGTAGTTTTCAGGTGATGACATTTAACTGCAAAGAATTGCTAGTGATACTCAGGGAAAGAAATACATATATACATAGGACAAAATGTGTCAGCTTTTGAATCTATTTTTTTTTTTACCACAGGATGTGACAAAACACTATTTTAAACCACTATTTATCTTTGTCATAGAGAAAACCAGCTTAGATCTGGAGTTCCAAATATGGGGATGATTTGCGACAAAAATAAAAATTAATGTAAAACAGCTATTTGTCATTTCATTTTAGTCGTTATTCTGGTTTTTCATAGCCAAATCTAAAATGGAAAAGCTAATAGAGAAAAGAAAATCTAAGCTTCACAATTAGCACTAGAAGGGGCTACGGGGTACATTTTAGGACATCCTTAGACCTCCGAGTCAGAACGGCATCATTCCCACTTCGAGTCTCGAGAAAAACCATCGTCATGACTCAGATCTGACTGAACATCAGACCAAACACAAGCCTGGTCGAGCATATAGTGGTTCGTATAACTTAGAAAACTATTACGTATCTTAATATAAATGCCAGTATAACATTTCCAGTTTTTTCTGACGGTGTTTGTTCTGATGTTCAGTTTCACCAGATCTGAGTCATGACGATTCCCAACACCACACAAGAGTTAACTGAACTACAGTGCAGAGGGTTTCAAATATTCCACAACACAAAAAAAGAGATGAAAATGACATTGTTGAAAATACACACATTTACATAGTGTGGTGACGTGTTGTGGCTTTCTGTTCTGTATGTTTTGTGGTACATTTGCATATCACCCATGAGTCTTCTCAGGGGCTGCTGTGCTGTGTACAGCTGTGTGTTTCTTAGTAACTGGGTGTGTTTACCATATATGGTATTCTGCTATTAAGGTGTGTGTGCTTCTTTGGAACTAGCGAATAGGTCTGTTGATGATGTTTACCTTTCTGGGTACATATAAGCGATTTTTTCACTCCCCACTGTGTAGACCCAGGTTTTCAGTCCACTGGTCAACCACCTAGCAAATCCAGTACTCTAAGTTTAAGTATGCCAATGAATGAACATTGTACATGTGCCAGAATGCTTTGCAATGATGCATCTTCTATTGGGCATCACAATATACACCCATCAGGCATAACATTGTGACCACATCCTTGTTTCTATGCTTATTGTCCATTTTATCAGCTCCACTTACTATATAGGTGCACTTTGTAGTTCTGCAACTACAGACTGTAGTCCATCTGTTTCTCTGCACACGTCAGTGTTACTGCAGTGCTGAGAATGATCCGCCACCCAAATAGTACCTGCTGGGTGAGGGTCCATGGGGGTCCTGACTACTGAAGATGGTAAAAGGGTGCTAACAAAGTATGCAGAGAAACAGATGGACTACAGTCTGTAGTGACGGGGTTCTAGACGATACTACTTCCTGTCCCATGACTTTTGGCACGTCAGTGAAAATACATAACCTTTAACATTTAACAAATCAACAATCAGAAGTGATTTTTATGTTAGTTCATAACAATATTAAATATTTTCTTGTTGGAAATATAATATTCAATACTCCGTAAATTAATAAATTCCTGTCAGTAGTGATAAACTTTGCTACTCGCACTAGCAGAAATGAAAAATGATTCTGTGCATTTTTATGGAAGTGTTCACTATGCTCTCTTTTGTTTTGCTGCTTGTGCACTGATTCTCAGATTTCACTGATTCTCAGATCGGAAAGCTGATTATACATGCTTAACCATCATGTTGACAGCCGACCAGAGTGGGATAACTGTGTGATTGTGCAACTGTACAAACTATGCATACATTTATATCTTCCTGTAACATACTGTAAATTTCCTCAAACCTCAAACATATGTACATATTCACATATGCATCTCTTTAGCTCCTTTTACAATAGCTCTTAAGTCTTCTCACCATTTATTATTTTTTATTTATATTTATTTATTCTTGTTTTCTTTTAAATGCATGTGCAACATACTTGGCAAAATAAAGTGATTCTGTAGAAACAATTGTTCCTCTAAGCAATTGTTGTTCAGAATTTTGCATAGGGCCTCAGAAAGCCAACACCAGCAGTGCTGGAGCAGGGAAGACATTACAACTGTCTAGTGCTCTTGATAGGGTAATTAGGAAAGCTTATTAAGGTTACTGTGTCCAAAATCAAGCTGTACTAACAAAAAAGGATCTCTACAATCATGAAAAGTTTATTAGACTGCATAAAAAACATTTCTGTTTCACACTCAGAATGAAATGAAGCCCTGGAGGGGTTGCTAAGCCCTTGGTGAGTTGTCAGTGTAGGAGTGCTGGTCTCATTTCCGCCGCTCCACTGTGGCTACACCACACTGTCCACATAGACACGCTAGACTGAATTTAGAATCTGTCAGTTCGCTTGAGGTTTTTGCTCAAAGCAACGTTCTTCAACTTCCTTAAAGCTCAGAGCCTCGCTGATGGGACCACACAAACACACAACAAATTCTCTGACCACTGAACTACCACAAACCCACAATGCACAAAGAACTGATGCACTGACACACTGATGATACTGAAAGGATTAAAAATGTAAGAATAAGCTTTTAAAGATGGCAGATTCTTTTTCTAGCATTTATTCTTTTCTGCTGAAGTCCACTTGAACTGTTTGTATAATTTTACATTCTAAAAACATCTTTATCCCTCAGAATTAAACAGGCTATGACACGGTAGGTGTACCTGATAAAATGGCCAGTGAATGTAGGTATAAAGTAGGTAATAAAATGGTAAATCAGTGTTTACTAGCTGCCACTGACATTAAAGCAGCACTGAGAAGAAGGAGAACCTGATACAACTACAATTTTTCTGCTAATCAAACTATGGGGTCAAATCACATTTAATAAATTCTGATTTTCTGAAATGAATTTGATTTCTGTTGTATGGTTGTAACAAGGCTGTGCTCAGAGCATTGAAATTGGTTTTGAAATAAAAATGTAAAGTCAGAACTCCTGTCAGACATCATGCAAAAGGCCTCATTTTGACAAACTGCTCCAAAAATATTATTTAATTACATTTTCATCAGAAAGACAAAAAAAGTTCAGTTGTTCTGGAGTTTTACTGATTATCTAATATTAGTGTTAAGTACTAGCTATAGCGGTTATTGGCTGGAATATTGCTAAAAGCTATTTTGGCTGGAGATGAATGTGAATGTGAGTTTGCAGCTTTATCAGAATTACAATGACACCTACCATTTGTATTGTACAACAATCACTTGCACTTACATATTAAATGTTGAACGTTATTACTTAGTTTACACTTAGTAAATTATTATTGTTGATTTATAATAATAATAATAATAATAATAATAATAATAAGCTCTCAATCTGTACAAAACAAATATATATCATTAAATCATTAATATAAACTAATCATTGGACAAGATTCCACTTCCACAAAAACAAAACTGTTTGCAGTTCTGGTTTATTTCCCCTTACTGTGCATAGGATTATGGTTCATCATAATGCGCACATGCTAAAATCACACCCAGATGTGGTTTAGCTTTAAAGAAAATTGAATTTTCCCCCTCACTTCTACTGCTCCCTCTCCTATTTAGAAACAGAGCATGATTTACCACTTACTATATGGGTGCACTTTGTAGTTCTTCAATTACAGACTGTAGTTCATCTGTTTCTCTGCATACTTTGTTAGCACCCTTTTACCATCTTCAGTAGTCAGGACCCCCAAGGACCCTCACCCAGCAGGTACTATTTGGGTGGTGGATCATTCTCAGCACTGCAGTAACACTGACGTGTGCAGAGAAACAGATGGACTACAGTCTGTAGTTGCAGAACTACAAAGTGCACCTATATAGTAAGTGGAGCTGATAAAATGGACAATAAGCATAGAAACAAGGATGTGGTCACAATGTTATGCCTGATGGGTGTATATTGTGATGCCCAATAGAAGATGCATCATTACAAAGCATTCTGGCACAAGTACAATGTTCATTCATTGGCATACTTAAACTTAGAGTACTGGATTTGCTAGGTGGTTGACCAGTGGACTGAAAACCTGGGTCTACACAGTGGGGAGTGAAAAAATCACTTATATGTACCTAGAAAAGTAAACATCATCAACAGACCTATTGGCTAGTTCCAAAGAAGCACACACACCTTAATAGCAGAATATCATATATGGTAAACACACCCAGTTACTAAGAAACACACAGCTGTACACAGCACAGCAGCCCCTGAGAAGACTCATGGGTGATATGCAAATGTACCACAAAACATACAGAACAGAAAGCCACAACACGTCACCACACTATGTAAATGTGTGTATTTTCAACAATGTCATTTTCATCTCTTTTTTTGTGTTGTGGAATATTTGAAACCCTCTGCACTGTAGTTCAGTTAACGCTTGTGTGGTGTTGGGTTCTGTGGGACCCATTTTTAATGTTTACCAAAGGAAAAAATGATGTAATTTATTATTATTTCAAACTCAGAATTGTTGGCCTTTG